CAACATGGACAGAATTCAGTCAGCGCTGGAGGAGTTTCAGAAAACCACCCACATCAAGCTCAGTAAGGTGACAAGCAAAACAGTTGAAAATGAAAATCTTAAGTTGCCGGAAAAAGTTCCCATCTACTAACAGAGTGGGCAAAGTTTGGCTGCATACATTACGGGAAGGTGCGCTCAAGAGGCTAGGGAATTCACACAAATCAGTCTGAGACAGTAGAAATCAATAAGCACAAAATATGTATACACAAAATGTACATATCCACACCGGGAGTGTCAATAAGGGACAAAAACTTGTACACAAAAAAAACTTTATATCCATACCAGGTTTCATAAGGGACATAAAATCTTTATATCCATATCCACTCTGGGAAGGGCTCTTGCAATTGGCTGCCCATGGAAATTTTAAAACGGCTAGATCCTTCCCAGTCTGAGTGGTTCAACCTTACAAAGTTACAGAGTAGTTACAGGGTAGTTGATTTTATGGTATCATGAACAGCTATAATCAAAGCTCTAGCTTCTCTACCCTGGGTGCCAGCCAAGTTTACACACCGCTAACCGTTTCCTTCGGCAGCCGGGGAAGCTTATCGGTCCTCCAACTAGTCTGGGAGCGCGTCCCATGCGCAGCCGTCCAGGGTGTGGGAGGGGAACCCATGATTAATGATCACGCGCACCACGGGAAGCCCAGGCGCGGCAGCAGGATTGGCCATGTGCGCTGCATACGACAGCGAATCACACACAGGATCTGTACTATACTATACAGTATTTCACAATTTACAATATCAAAAAACGAAGTAATGTAAGTTTATTTCCAAGTTCGAAGCCTCGTGTTCATATAAAATCCCCAAACATTTGCTTACGGAAAGTATCGCCCCCCTCCCCCTCTTTGCGTAGCAAAAGACGACAAAAATTTTGCAAGTCTGAACATAGCAACAAACAAAACTACATTTATGTACATGTTTCATTACTCCTGCGGATCCCGGATCACAATAGTAAGTGGGGACACGTGTGGTAGAGGTAAGATCATTCGTAGCACAGTTTTTAAGTACCGATAGCTTCGTTGTTTACAGTCGGTCTTTTACGCTATTTTCCCCATTATTTATACCGATTAAAATTGCTGCGCTACAACAACCACACCGTAAACAAAGTCTGCACGAATCTGGTGCCAACTGGGGACAAATACATAGCCCGTAAACGCGTTCCGGACGAGGAAAACAGCACTAGAAGCGTGCTACGATCGTGCAGTAGTCATTTTCAATGTGTATTCAGAGCTCCCGCACGACCGCACCGGGCGGTCGTGCGGGAGCTCTGAATACACATTGAAAATGACTAACAGCGGATCAAATGAGCCCGCAGATGTGCGCCCAATCCCGGCGTGGCGTGCCACTGAGCGGGGATTAGATCCTGGCCAATAAGCACAGAGAAGGCTACACACAGAATCTGTGCGTATGGACTGACAGCTAAGAGAGGCGCTTCCAGACTCGTTTGGAGGGCGGCCAAACTCCGCCGGGCTAGACTCCCCCGTAGCGGTAATTTAGACTGGCGGGCGAAGGGCTCTTGCCGCCCGGAAAACGAGTTCTGGCATCCAGGGTATAGCTTCTCTCTTACTTCGATGGCTGGTTACACATTTTTGAAAGAGCAAAATAGTGACTGATTATTTGTATTTTGGTAGCCTGGATGCCAGACCCAAAGTACACTGGACACAAAATATCTCAGTGAGCAATTTTGCGTCCAGTGTGCTTTGGGTCTGGCATCCAGGCTAGTATTTTGGTTGAAGATTGAAAAGGGTCTACTGGCTCTAGACTTGTCTTGTAACCTTTCTGGATGACATTAGTTCCACTAACTACTCAAATTGCTAGATTCTTCCCAAGCCAGTGCAAAATTCCATATGGCCATAATCCCCCATGAAATTTCTGCATTCCTCCCAGCATGAAAAGGGGCCAGTCTGAAATTTTTTTCTTGTCCACATAAATATCATCATTGTAGTGTGCTGAATGATACCCTAGAGCATTTTAAAATCTTGGCTGCTTGAAATGCTAGTTTGTGCATTTTGAGGGACAAATTTTGCTGGTAGACTATCTCGTTTGGTGCAAAATTACACAAGAGTTTCATCTTCATTTTGCCCACTCCACTCAAAGTAGGCTGACTCAAAGATGGAGTGGGCAAAATTTTTGTCAGTGATGACCGGGAAAATTTGGCTAGAACACAGTCATAGAAATCCTGACATCATATTTCCATGGAATAATGCTAACCCATTGTCCACCATCATACCTGCCCTACATTGTAGATGACATAATAATTTCAATTAAATGAAATTTCTTTTGGTACATTCATTGCCAAGTACATGTATGGTTAATGAATTCAACACATTCATCGAATTGCTGTATGCTTGTTGTATACTAAGTAAATTGTATCCAAGTGAAGATTATTTCTATACCAATGAAGATTCTTCCTGGATTTTAGTGTAAAGTGACTGGGCAATGTGACATGATACTAGAGTTTATGAAATGCAAGTTCTCGCTTAAACAAGTTCAAGTAAATACCATGTGTAGGCAGATAAGTGTGTCCCGTGACATGATTTTCTTGATTTTTAAAAACATTTCCTGATTTGATGGTCCCTTCCCTAGGGAATAGCTTAATTTGCATATCTCTTGGGAATAGTTGAATTTGCATATCCTCACATGAGACCTGAACATTGAAAGATCTTTAAATATATCAAAAATTCAAGGAAAAGTTACAAGTGCAAAGTTTTATACCATAAAATGTAACAACTTGAGGCTTTTTCCATTCTGTAAGCTTAATTTCATCTTTTTTCTCAAGCATATTCTTTCACGCGCAAATTTCAAACTTTTTTGCGCGTGAAAACTCAGCATTTGAAAATTACTATTGAAAATGGGAAATTAAGGATGAAGTTTTCACGCGCAAAAAAGGTTAAAATTTGCGCGTGGAAGATAAAGATAGAATTAAGATTTCCGAATAAATGTAAAATGTCCAAGACCCCCTGGGAATCACCTAATTTGCATATTTTCACGCGCAGATTTTTCACGCGCGCGCAAATTTCTCACGCGCACAAAACCCCATCCCGTTATTGTAATGTTACAACCCAGGCTATTGTTTAATGTTAGCACATTATAGAAAAAATGAAAACCTAGAGCCCTATAAAAGTCACCATATGTGAATGCAATATTTGAATTCGACTCCAAAATCAAGGTTTAAATTCTGATCTCCCCTCCTAGGATCCTTATCAAGTGTTTTTTTAGTCAACAGCTCGTTCAGTACTTAAGCATTTGTCATTTGATGGTCTGAAAGAATTCCATTCCATTCAGAAAAATTACATTATTATTGAATTACAGTAGTAATACTCTGTGATGATGTTTTTCAGGACAACTTGTTTGAATGGCACTTCACAGTCCGAGGTCCTCCTGACTCAGACTTCCAGGGAGGCATGTACCACGGGCGCATCACTCTCCCTCCCGAGTACCCCATGAAACCTCCCAGTATCATGCTTCTCACTGTAAGTACATGAAGTAAGCACGTCGGCAGAACGTACCGCACCTGCACAAAACTCATAATGTATTGTACATTGCACTCAGCAGAACGTCTCATATAAGGTCGTATTTGCGCATATAAGATCAGCACTCCAAAGGTTTCCAACACTCCAACATGTAGTTTCCAAAGGTTATGTTGAAAAAGATATCTTCTGCAACAGGCAAAATTCTGAAGCAACGTTGACCAAAAATCCAACGAAAACTTTGAAAAATGGGGGTTTTGCACAGGCACACTGTAGTACATTCTGCCGACGTACTCATTAAGTACAGTATCTCCAGCAGCATTATAAGTATTTGTTTGTACAGTCTGTAAATGGAGACATTTGGCAAAATTTTACATGACTGTAGTATTGGGATTAATGTTTGTGAAGTTAAAATTGGGCACTGGTACACTGGACCACTATGGGACACCACCTGACAGTTATCATAAGAACTGCAGGTTGGCAGTATACAATGTATGTCATACCAAGGACATTATACAGACCTTGGTCATACTATCATGATCTGACTCCTGTTGTCCTTTTATATATTTCTACAGCCCAATGGAAGGTTTGAAACTGGGAAGAAGATTTGTTTGAGCATCTCTGGACATCACCCCGAAACATGGCAGCCTTCCTGGAGCAGTAAGCACAGCTTATATTATAACATATTAAGCTAGAATTAGCTATATATATATGGGCATCTTGACATTTTACTTTATGAACCTAAAAAGTACTTAGATTGACTTCATTGTATCTCCATTGGTATGTTATCTTTGTAATCTTAGCCTTTATGACTATGTATGTCCTATTTGTTATGAATATGATTATACCTGGCTGCACATGCATGGTTTGACCACGTGCGAGCTGCTTATAAATGTATGTAAGTGGGTCACAAAAACAAGAGATCTAGTTTCCTTAAGGAAATTTCCTTGATCACATCTCTGTTATTAATTGTGTTATTGAGGCCTTCTCTAATATCTGAAGTGTGCATGCCTTGGGGGTGGATTTCTGATGCTATATTTGTAGGTTTCTTTCAATTTGATGTTTCTTTAATGTACCAGTCTACTCTAAAGCACTGGTAGGAGTTAAGATCATCTAATCATCCTTTGCTTGTAGGACAACTGCAGAATACCAATACAGTCTTACATACAAGAATTCCAAATGGAAAGATGATTCCGTTCAGCAACACTAAATAGCATAATGCAGTTTTGTTATAGAATACGCATTCCTCTGATTGACACCTATTCATCTGTTTGCGCAGTTCGTACCGTCCTGTTGGCTATCATAGGCTTCATGCCGACCAAGGGTGCCGGTGCAATCGGTTCCCTGGACTACACACCAGAGGAGCGCAAGATACTGGCTCGAAAGTGAGAGGTTATGATTGTTGATCAGGTTTTTTTAAAGAAACTTTGATGTGAAAGTGTAGTATGTATTCCTGAGGCCACACCATTGATGGAACCTGCTCTCAGGGTGTTAATGCTATAAATATGAATTTTTAGTGCCTTTGGATAAAAAATAACTGCTATGATTAAAATCAACTTTTGTGATAAAATTTTGTTGCAGTAAATAGATACAGTATATACAAGTGCCTCAGGGGTGCATATTAGCCATATTAATTTTAAGTTATGTCTAAATGGTTGTCTTAGATACAACAAAAATACAAACTGTGTCAAATTTACATTTCCCTATGGGCATGCTGTGACATATTATGTATTTGTGTCCTCGTGATGTTCAAATTAACATTGCTTCTGCCTGAAATATTGCTGATGAAAAATACTGTAATTTATTCATTGCATGCAAGTTTTTTATGATAACTTATGAAGGTAAATTCATTGTGCAGCAAACGTATGTAGTACTGTTTCAATGATATCTGTTGTTTCATTTGAAAAAAAGACAGTTAATTCTTTCTCTGCTAACATAAATGAATCTGCATTCTTTTCCAACACAATGCAGGTCCTTGGAGTGGAAGTGCGATGCCTGCGGAACGACCAACAAAACCATGCTGAAACCTCCATCCAATCACCCAACAGACGCAGACAGAGAAGCCCAGGAACTGGCCTCACAGATTAGCTTCAAGGTCTCTACTATCACTGTCATTATTTAGTCTCTGCCAGACTAACTACGCTGGCTATATATAGGAGAATATTTGCCAGGGGAGTTTGGCCGTCTTGGGGTTTGACTGGCCAGAGGGAAAGAAACAAACTTCCACAGCCGGACTCCCCTGGCCAATTTTACTCTCCTTTTTGCCAAATTCTACAATCCGTATTCCCGTAGAAAGGCCTGGTGGAGGCTAGTCATTATTACCATTCAGTTCATAGACTAAAGCAAAGCCTACTAGTGAATTTATCTGACACTAAGACTAAGGCCATGTTGATTTGATTATATTGATGACATCCTCTGGGAACCCCAAAACTGATGCGAGAGTGCGAATAAAAAAAAGTTTTGCAAAAAAAAAAGTTGCTTTCATTATGAAATCTACGTGGTCATGAAGGTTGAACAAATGACACAGGGTATAGTATGGCGAATAATCTACTCTTCAAATTCATTTCTTTACATTTTTTTCTTTTTCGTTTGGTTTTGACATTCTACGACATTGTTATTGTTTTCTAATATTTTTTGTGCAACTTACAGTATATATTTGCTCATTTTGCAACTGTTTTGTACGATTTACAGCTTGGTTGAAAACTTTTTTTTTTGGAAACGGCCGAAAATTAATGCGCGCGCGGATGTCATCCATATAATCAAATCAACATGGCCTAAAGTAAAGTATATTAGTGAGTTCCTCCAACACTAAGACTAAGGCAAAGCCTATTAGTGAATTTATGCAACACAAATAATAGTATATAAACTATAGCAAAGCTGGAGGTATAAAATTAAGCAGGTTTGATGCTTAACAGGATCAGGTCTGATTCTCTTGACCTGAATACCCTGGACTGGTAACCAGACCTAATGCATAATGGGAAAATGGCAGTTTTTTTCCTTGGAATTTTTCTGCATTCCATTTTTTAATGTATACTGTGCGACAATATTTGCTGTGCGACAATGTTTGCTGCACCTTTTAGAATCTACCTAGAGCTATGGAGTATAGGGAGACTTGGTGCAAGCAAATTATAAGTGAAACCATCACGACACGATGATGATGAGCTTTAGTTTATGACTCTGTATTGTACTTGTTCCTGGTATGCATGTGCAGTGCAGTTACTAAGTATAAAGTCTGAGTTCTCTGAATACAATAAGGATGATGTTAAAGCTGTATAGTCTAGTAAAGATCTTACCACCAAGACTGATCAATACCTGAGCTACCATTACTCAGTTCTTAATCACATGTATATTGTGTTTCATCCACAGGGGGAAGCTGAAAAAGGTAAAGACCAGTCTGCTGCTGGGAACACGAGTACAGCCCAGACAACACCAGCAGACCCCACCACCCAGGGGGCAGCTACCTCATCTTCCCAAGGTGCCACAGGGACACAGGCCCCACCGGGCAACCCTGTTCCCCCCATGTTCCCCTACATGGTGCCCCCTCCCTACGCCATGTACGCCGCCGGCTACCCCAATGCCATGCAGCAAATGGGTGGTGCTGCGGCGCCTCCACAGTCTGCAGACGGTACTGCAGCTCCACAGCCCACCCCAGCAAGCCCTTCCAACACTAACCCATCCAGTCAGCAGAGCGCCGCGACTCCACCGGCACAGGCTAGGACCAGCGTCAGACAACGGGCCGTGCACGCGACCAATAACCCCGCCTCGGGACCTACCCGGCAATTGCCACGACAACAGCCAGTCAGCGCCGGCTCCTGTTCGCTCTTCCTGATGGTTGTCCTAACGTTGTCCATCGCGTTCCTCATACTGAGAAGGGTTTACCTGACAAATATGTGGAGATGGGACTATGAGCTTTGACACTAGCAATAACGACATTTGTTTGTTTCTCACTGTGGTTTAGAAACTGTTTTTAGGAATTAGTATCTATTACTTCTGTACTTGTATTTATAAACAAGAAGAATGTTTAGAATCAATATGTAAGGACTTACAAGCCATTGAGGGGAAATTCAACACAACTAGAACCAACATGACATATGTATGTTACATTGTATTAGCTTAGATAGAAGTGTACATGTGTACAGAAAGATAAAGACTTCACATTAAAGAAGTTTCTGTTAGATTTATAAAGCCAGCCTGTCAACACTCTCCTGGCTACAAATGCAATATTAACTCATTCCAATTTTTTCCTTTCATTTCAAAGTTTTATTTTAAGACACAACAACAGTACTTATAACTAAAACCTAAACTTAATGTCTCTTATGCTATTTCCCTAATATTAAATGTAACACCAGTATTTTAGATTTACAAATAGAGGAATGCTAGTACATCACATTTGCCTTTATTTGTAATAAGTAGGTTCATTGACCGTATCTGGTATGGGACAATGTAATTAATGAAAAACTGAAGTGACTCATTTCTGGAAATAGCAGCTAGCATCTTCTCGTTAACAGTTCCTAATTACCACGGTAAGTTGATGCAATCAGATAGAATACAAGATGTACTTACACCACGCCATTTTATTTTAGGATAACAGTTTACCAGGCATTAAGGGCATCCTATGCGATTTCAGGGCAGCAAAACTGGAAATATTTTGGATAAGTCAATCTTTGTGATATTGACACATACTGTTTAACATTAGCACAGTTGAGTCGGCATTTCATACTTGGTGCGTTAAAAACAACAGAAACAAGCCCCAATATGAATCCTTTATTTTCTTGGTGGTACCCTGAAAATCAGCCCAGGGCCCTTCCAGTAACCATTTTCCGTCAGAATTTGGGAATTTTTGTTCCGTGACGGTCAATATACATTGGGATAGTGTACTTTCAACTGACTAAAGGATAAATGACTAGAACATTGGCCTTGGTTTCCAAGGACTAAAAACTGATTTGGATGCCTTTAACCTTATTTTTAAATAACTGTTTTTGCCGAAGTTTATGCAAAAAAATTTAACATTATTTCCTTGAGTTTCAAGTCTGAAAAAACGGTGAACCTGTAAAACCAAGAAATTAAATCGATATAATCGTAATTACAATAATTGCAGTCATCATTTATATAACGTTGTACATTTTGCTAATTTCCTTTTCTACTAGATTTACCTCCCCATTTCATGATTAGGCACCTGTACTGTGGCTCTGGTTACATAAAGAAGACACCACGGGCTGATTAGGGTAAATCAAACCAACTTACCAGATTTCCTACACATAATTGGAATAAAACGACGACAGCCGTAAGTTGCCTTTGTACTGTTAGGTAACGTCAACTCATAATCCCTTCAGTTACTAGTACCCTGAGACCATTCGTTACTTGAAAAAAAAACGGCGAATGTAAAGAGATCTTAGACTACTAATACATCCTCATTATATGTTCACGTCACATGAAAAAAACTGCGAATATAAATAGATCCATAGACGCGGTATTCGTGTATTTTGGTGGGACGTTGAAGGGTTACATTGAATGAAAGGCAGATACTATATTCGTGAATATGCAAGCCACATACATTCATCATGATACATGTTAATTTCGAAGGACTACCAAGGCATTTTTGTATATAATGATGTTGACAGAAAAGATCGGTCTTATTAAGCATTATGAAACATTTCACAGTGGAGTTAGCGCTTCCTATGTGTAATTGGCGAGAGTAACTTTAAATGTATGTCATGAGTCATGATGAAAACATTTTTTCGAGCCTAATACTAATGTATGTAGAACCAACTGTCATACCGCCACATTATGAAAGTAATTATAGTTGATAGACCAGGCTGTTTGCTAACTAACTACATGTACTACTGGCAAGCTAGCTGACCATGAGAGAGTTCCGTTTCACTTCCGCAACTTCGGAGTTTTGTAGCTTGGGGACCTTACCAACGCTACGGTACTTACTGGTGCTATTGTTTTACAGCCCATAAGTACATCCGTGTACACTTTTACACATCTGTTCTGGATTTTTAACGACAGATGGGACGTTCAACAGACTTTGAAGGGTACTTTGGTGGGCACTCTTGTTGGCATGGCGGCGAACAACGCACGAAGTAAGTCATGTATGGTGTTCGAGCTTGTTGTCTGTTAAACGTCCATGGTTATTATGCTTACCGAAGGAAAACATATTGTTTTGCTACCTTTCTTCTTCTTCTTCTTCTTCTTCTTCTCCAAACAGTGACCTCTGACCTGACTGAACCAGACTGTCTCTCACCATGGTGACTGGTGTTGGGTTACATTATGTTGCAATTTTATAGTAGGGGGCTTTTTAGACTCTTGACCATATATGTGAATGTGTTTAAGTAATAATTAACAGAGCAGACCATATGCGAAGGTAACCATTATGCATTTGCTTTGCAAATGTTACTTTTCCAGTTTGAGGATACATATGCATGTAGTTTGCTATCGGTACGGAGTAATTGTAAGTTTGAGGATGGTACAGTCGTCCTTATCTTCTTAACACGACTCTCCCCCACACAAATAACATTGTTTAGCTCCCTTCGTTCGTGCACCATGGATTGACGTCAATGACTTATTGAATATGATTTCCGAACGTAATAGAAAGACTTACATAAATCTGCAAAGGAGCTATCCAAGCAGGTTAATGGCAGCAGTAGGAACACCTCACGCGTTACATTGTCCCAAATATGTATGATTTATAACCATATGAACCACAATGATCATCTGAGAAATGATGTATACGTACAGCTGAAGCTTCTGACGTGGTGATTAGATGTTCTGAATGACCCCCCTTCACGTTAAAAAAAGCATAATGGCCACCCATTTGCTCACGTCTGGGACTAAGGTAATAGTAATTCTTCCGCTTTCAAGTGACATTTACAGACGTTGAAGCTTTGGGAAGCAGGGAGCTAGTCCACCGGCAATGTGTTGAACTTCTGAACTTCCCCTATACCAAGGACATATTTTCTACTTGCCTATACTGAGCGCTGAGCAGAGAAGCGGGTTGTACAGTCCATGGTACGAGTATGAAAATCGCCCTGCGGCGACCTACCGCTTGTACAACGTGCACTCTACCCGCTAGGGCATTGCAACGACGTTCAAAAACTTACAAGTCAATACATTTATATTAAATCCGCCAATTTGATCGAGGAGTAAAAAGAAATGGTCAAACTCATATACTCATGATGATCACAACTTTATTCTATTCCATATTGTTTCTTAACGATGGTTCCTGGAGTATGTACCGACGTTACAGTCCCACACAGATTAACGAGTCAGTACCTAAAACGTACTTTATAGAAGGGGAAAACAAATTTGCGACTATTATAATCTTTGTCTTATGTTTCCGGCTTATACGAGTACGCCTAACAGCTATCATCATCTGAATATTACGTTTCCAGTGATTTTGTTTCAAGTGATATTTCATAGACACCTCCACGGCAAAGAACAAAACATGAGACTACAAAAGAAGAAGGAATTCGTCATTACTTTTGTACAGGTCTGAAACGGCAATCTTAATCCATGATGTTGTTCAGACTGTTAGGCCACACCAAGTAATTTTTATGGATGACGTCCACGCGCGAATTGTTTTTGGCCTGTTCCCCAGAAAAAAAACCCAGAAATTCCGCTTCCTGTAACTATGAGCAAAGACACTCGCATTAGATTCAGGGTCTCCAGAGGACGTCATCCCTAAAATTACCTGGTGTGGCCTTATCCGTACAAAGGCTCAAAAATCAGTTTCTTTTTTGCCAAGTCTGATCAACGCGATAGCCTGTGCTTGCGATGATGTTAGAGCTTTCATTTTGACAAACTAGTAGAGATAGTCATAGTCATTACTGATACGGGACGTCTCCATATGGTCACACAGTCCCGGCTCAGTGAGGGTGGAGTTGAGATGGTAGGCCATCACATGGCTGACGATGTTCGGGGCAGGGCCGACCTTCGGACCGAGGCACTCGCGCATGTAGCACCCGAAGGCGAGAGGTTGCACCACGCAGGGGGTCCAGGCGCCGGGCAGGGAGAACACGGCTCTGGCGAAACAGTTCTGGACGTCCAGGATGGTGCAATCACCTGATGAAATAATGCCAACGTAATGTTTGTTTTTCTTTTATTTATTTGACCAAATAAAAGAAATAAACAACGTTCAGGAGGAGGAAGTACGCCTGCAAGGCTTACACAAAGCCCTCCTCCTCCTTCAAACATAACAAATGTTAATCTTTAAACTATGGCTAAAAAGACACGGAATAGCTGACAAATTGCTAGACCTTTGTCATAGAATATAGTATTACTTTTAGTATTAATTACTTCTCCTACTTGAGTACTAGTATTGGTGTCAGGAAAAGAAGAGGGAGAAGCTAAAAGGAGACTAAGAAATATTAGCCGGTGCAATTAAGAAGTGTGATATTAAGACAACCCACCTGCTGCATTCTTGTTGACGTCACGTAGTTTGTCTCCATGGTTGACAGTTCCGCAGAACGGCAGGACGGTAGTGACGTACTGCCCCATCACCACAGACCGGAGCACCGCCAGGCCGGCATCCACCCGCTCGGGGAATCCCTCCGCGTCGAAGCAGTGCAGGAAGGCCTAGGACAAAGAATCACTAGTCTTCACTAGACTGTTTTGCAGGCTGAATAAATAGTAGAAATCGACCTAAAAGGAATATAGTTGGCCAGGAGAGTTGGTCGACCATAGAGGGTCCAGTCAAGTGACCAGTTCTAGATCTTTTTAGGTCGATTTCTACTATTCATTCAGCCTGCAAAACAGTCTGGTGGAGACTAAAGAATCACTTTGAAGGAAATATGATAAGGATATAGGATTTTATGTACTTACCTTTTCCGCCTTACACACACGTGCAGGAGTCACCACCGTCTCGGCAACATACGCCCGCGCCTGCTCATCTACGCACCGACGGACCACGGCATCGACGGAATCTGAGGAGAGTTGAGTTTCGATATGTACATGTATAATTTATAAGAAAATAAAGGTCAATTGAAAAAAAAAATGTTATGAGTGTGAACCTGTCTAGGATGCCCAATTCTCATTCTAATGATTCCACATAGAGTTCCTGACCACCTCGTTCTATTTTGAGACGGTCTAAGCTTCAAATATCAATAGAATTACACGTTAGAAATAGGGCAGTACTAATGGGCCTCAAAGACGCTATATTGAAAAATAACTTCCTTTGATATACATCAACTTATAACGTCCATGGCTGGGCACTTCAAAGAGGTTATTGTTGTATGGATGGAGGTGATTTTTTTAGGCGTACAAAACAAGGTCGCCACCGTTACAATGCACTTATGGCCTTCCACACACCTACTTATATTGTTACGAGCGAATAACGTACATAGAAATATAGTCGTTTTATTTTAGGTCAGGAACTCATTTATGTTCCTACCGTCTGACCGTTTCCAAAATCATATCCAATTTTTGGGCGTATTTTATTACCTGGATGTCTAAGCTTTACCGACGTACTCATTATGATCACGCTGGGATCATTGCATGGAATTAGGAGAGGAAAGGTTGTCCGCTACCTGCTGTGACCTTGCCTTAGGCAGCTTTTTACTTTCTTGACCGGCACCATGCCGCATTACGAAACGAGCGTATGTATGTTTTTTTTTTGGCACAATTCGTGATTCAAATTTTTATCTACTTTGAAAATATATTTCATCAGCGATATATGTATATTAAAATACTGTATACATTTTGTATGATAAAATTCATACTTTCAAATCCAAAATGAATTTTTTTTATATTACAATCGTTACTTACGCTTTAAATTGAATATGTCATACCAAAAGAATGTTTTTGGAAGGGATTGCTAGGGTGAATGTTATTGATTGATACAACATTGGAAGTATAATGAATATTTACCGAACGGAAGCTGTGCTCTCCCACTCAACGGCTCCTTGCGCACATTTCTAGCTCCTTTACGCCAACCCGGCTGTTAAGAGACAATACAAGAGCTGTTAGAAAATTCAGTACATCCCGACTTAAGCAGCTCTCCTTGAGCTGAATTATCTCCTGGTGGACATTAAAAAAATCTCAAGTTGTCTTTTCTCTTGTAGAAGATAGATCTGATGTAACATACTCGATTTTTAATATCTCTACAACGCAACGTAATTTCGTAGAACATATAAGTATAAAATGTACTTGCAATTTATGTGTAAAAATGTATTTTGAATTGAAATACCAAATGTCCGATGCACATAACCTATAACATTTTGTCTTACATGGCTTGAGCCCTCCTCTTTAGTATGGCAAAAAAACATAAAGGGCTGACCTAGGGTTTATCCAAGCAACCTTCCATCTTGTACATACATTGCAATAAAGATGATTTCAAACCCCTCACTTGACTTTTCTTATGAAGTCTTCAAGCGAAGTATTTATCAAATCATACCGGTTCATTTCTCCTTCACTGATGTATAGATGAATTCATGCTATATTTTGACTCTGATGTTACGCATTGGTAAACAACATAATTGTCTAGGCTGGTGAGGATGAAATAATTGCTTTTTTATGTCAAGCCAATCATCTCCTTCTGGGAGACGTTAGCATGTTATCACATAGGGTTAATCCAGCTTGACTTAATTGCTTAAGAAGCTTATGTGCTCACCAACAGTTCTCTCTAGATGCACATCATTAACACACGTTAACATGTAGTTCTCGACGTCTCCCAAATGTATTCATCCTTTTACAGAATCACTGAAGCCTGTTTCCGACCATTAACATCATAATTACCTCCCTAAATAACCATAAATGATTAGGGAAAGGGGAAATTATGTCCATTAGTCGTGATACGAGGACCTTGCAACCTTCTTAACGATGAGGTGGATTAGAAGGAATCAACCAGTACACTGATTAGCACGTCTCAATCAACCACAAATTCAAATGATGGTAATACATGTTACATAATAGCTTCATTCTAAGCTTTTCCAGTATTCAGAGCTGAAATATGAGAAAAGGAGAAAAATGAAAATATCAAAGCAATGTTTCTATCGTTGTCCTTTGAGGCTTTGCGTATCGTTCGACGTTGAATATATGTTGCATATAATAATATATTATTCCTTTTCCCTCTAACATGAAAACTCAGTTGACCAACAAATAACTTTCTTAAACAGTTGTAAACGTCTTTGTCGAGAGTACATCCTTTTAAAATCTGAGCCAAGCAAATTAAGGTGCGTACCAAATCCAACATTGCGGATAGATTGGACTGTTTTCGAATATATATGCACCTACTTCTCATGCCAATATGCTATTGTAAACCCCAAACTATATTATAAAAACAAAAATGCAAAATGTACAGTAAGTCTTCATTCGATTCTTTTACAATTTTGAGGACATTTCAAAGAATGAATAGAAGAAACATGTACATGTAGTTCGCTTTCTGGGTGTAACTAATGGAAATAAATAAGAACATAGTAATGTTACCTGGTGATACGGCGTACTGCTGCTAACAACAACGAGGTACAAGGTTGTGCACAAACAAGCAAGAAACAGGGTCTTCATCTTGAAATCAGCCGCTCGAAGTGCGTCTCAGCAGGTCTTGGCGATGGTTCTATAAACTGCCCCCAATAAGTGGAAATATCTGACCTTTTATAAATACAGCGAGCTGACGTCAGGGCAATGCCAATGTAGTTCAGGGGTTAAAGGCACTTTTCAGGAATCGGTAAAAAGAGAAACGTAATAGCTATCTTTTGATCATGTATTTGAATTGGAATACTTTCTTTGCATGTAAAATTGGTGATATAGTGTTCATTACGTGAAAATGCCGATATACCATATGAGAAACGTTTCTCTATGAAAGATATCAGTGAAAAATGAAAGATTGTTCTCTGAAAATTGGAAAATGCACTTCTATCATAGAAATTCAAAGGTCATAACATACTACTGTATTAAAATTGATTTCGAATTTGCTCATAAGTAACTAGGCTGTAGCACTTGATATCCTCCAATAACGTGTACAACACTGCCTTTATTCTTCCATATATGGTTCGTTCTGAAGTACTGGTACCACGGTGACGCAAAACAAAGTCTATAAGATGAACCTAAGGTCACTCTGATTTAATTTTATGGAAGACATCTCATAACTGCTGCAAAAGGCCAGCATGTACCTGCTTGTCGTAAAAGTCGCTGTGTTTCCGCAAATTCACAATCAAGCAGATTTTTTTTGGGCCGGAATTTTTTTTTTTGCCCGTGCGCACTAGTTTGGAGGTCTTCAGAGGATGTCATCCATAAAATTAAGGCAGTGTGGCCTATGATGAACCTAATCTAACGTGATTCCGGTGGGTGGGTGGGCTGTCGTGGTGCCAATATCATTTCCCTCGTCACGACTGTTCTTGCCGGAGTACACCCCGCGGCCGGTTATTGAATAGAAGACGATAAAGTTGCAAATTGTCCTGTTATTATCTTAAAATGTTTTACCCAACACTTGTTGATCTCCATACGATTGGAACGTTTCGTTGTTAATGGAAGCCTGGAAGCTCATGAAAATTTCGCCGATAGATACTTTGTGAGTCATGAAATGTATAGGTAGGGTTACTGAATGTTTGAGAAATTGTAGGAGCCTGTACGGTCAGTCAGTATGATCACCCAGTGGTGTGAAATATAATTTGTGTTGGGACTGTATGAACAATCTCTCTCCCTCCCCTTCTCTCTCTCTTCCTCTCCCTCTCTCCTCTATCTCCTCGTCTCTCTCTCTCTCTCTCTCTCAAATTCATAGTCCATTTTTGTCGAAAACGACTGAAAGGAAATCGTAGTGCATATCGCTTCAAAGTCCATAGATGGCGCTGCTGCAATATGTCTTCTGCTGCAATCATGCACCGACTAAGTAACAAGAACGGAAGACATCTTCGAGGTTAACGTTACAAGTATGGAACTAAAACAGTGTCTCTTCTTCTTAAAGTCAGCAACACAGTTTCACTCACAAACTCACTGAGCGTGGAAAGCAAAAGAAGAATCGTGAATATTATGAACATTTCTCACCACAAGAAGTTTAGATTTACTTCAACACATTTGGTACATATGGCTTGCGCTCAACGGCATTTCCTATGAACACATGTACAGCGCCCCCTATCTTTCCATTTTCATATAGCATTACATGACTGTTTATTCACAGCTGATAAAAGTTACTACAAAGATTGTACATGCTACTAGTCAGCCATCAAGCAATACTTTGCTGAAGACCAATGGCAAATGAGGGCATGTGAAGTTGTTTACGACGCGGTAGAAAATGTAAAAGATGTGAAGGACCCGCCGTTCAAACTACTTTCACGCAGTCTTTTTAAAGACGATCTCTTTTGTGTCAGCGCCTTGCGGTAATAACAAGTACCGGTTGCTCTGAGCCCTCGAGACTTCTGAAAAGGCTTTATGATCTTAGCAAGCTCATAGCTATAGTCATTAGTCACTACTTGAGTCAAGGACGTTAGCTAATGACTACATCTCTTACCGAATGAGATATTTTAGTACCGAGAAGATGTTGACTCTCTTTCACCGTTTGTACCACAGAGAGGCACCAGCGCTGCTAAGTCGACCTTGTCCCTTAACAGAAAGAGGTGTAGCGAGTAACAGGCCAGTCAAAATCACAGTACAAAAAGACTGGCGATCCCTGCCTCCCACACCGTCCATCATAACTTTTGTACCAACAACTGTTGAACTATGGGGCAGTCTTCCGAGGGAGATTGCTATGATCATTTGACGTTAATTCTTTAATTCTTTCCTCAGCGCAAAACTCTGACAGCGTTCTGTCTAGGCAATCCGGCTAGCATGCTGAGCGAGAGCTGACATTATGTTGAGTGTAGTAAAAGAATCAGCTTGGCTACAGAAAAGATCTGCGACACCCTTCCCATTCATGAAAAGGAGTAGAGTTGAAAACACCCCTTCACACATTTAGAACATTTCCCCAACAACAAGCCAAACATGGTTGGCAATGTCAATGTAGGCATACATACACATGTGTGTGACAGGGGCTTGATGTACCATGCTGCGCCTGTGCTTACGCACATCTAGCGGGGTGCCATCCTGTTTGACAGCCGCACAGCATGTGGTGCACGTATACACGGAGCGTTTCGCTTCAAGCTATATGAGATGAAAGAAAAACTATGGAATCAACTTTGTGATCTTTACGTTTGGTGTACGTGGCCACCTTATTGGATTTAGCAATTCTTAACCAACGTTTATTGAGTGCTATAATCAACTTAAGAGTGAAATGTCACGTAAAATGTGATCAGCACGTCGCCATTGAAAATTACATTGATGTAACATGATGTAAAAGAACTTCTGTACGTGTAATACATCATAAGGCCTTGCAGAAAGACATCTTGTGTCTTTGAGCCACCAATACCAGGGGTCTTGTATGCTAGGCGCAAATTTTGCTGTTTTCAGCTCCTGTTTGGGAGTTCGCAACTTCTGAATCAGAGACGCGATTTCTATAGCGCTCATCCTGTATCAAACCTATCAAAGTTTCAAACGTGTCAAACGTACATATTATGTTCTCACTGTTCAGCGGAAAACGTGTTTTTAGTTTTGTAAATACGCATGTTACTTCAGAGTAAAAATCATCAATGGGAGTAGAATTGGAGTCAACCGATGCATGGATGGATGGATGGATGGATGGATGGATGGATGGATGGATGGATGGATGGATGGATGGATGGATGGATGAAGCAAAAGGGGGAAATATATCTAATAGTTATAGTAGTAATAACCATGATGCCCTGTAACATTGTGAAATAAAAGACCACCAGTTACCACGGTGACATGCCAATGAGTGAAATTGTGAAATTAACCTGCAAATCGTTGACCTTATCTGTTTGACGTCAACATAGAAGAGGAGGACTGAATTACTTGTCTTTTACATGTAATAAATACTTACCATGTAATAAATACCACCTTTGTCTGGTCGACTACTAGACTAACGCGGGTTTAAAATCAGCCAAATTTAGTCAAATAGGGAGGATAAGTGACCAGGGATAGATTAGCCACCGTAGGTTATCCGCGCCGGTAAATTAGCCTTCTCGTGGACTGACTCTGCTGGCCAGTGATTCATGCATCCCCTTTTTTACCAAATTCTCCGTACCCCAGCCTGGTGTAGGCTACGAAAAATGTATGTATGACCAAACTACTTTTAGAAATGTAGTTAAAAGTCTTATACATTTTAGCCTAGCTTCGTTGCAACTCGAGAACATCAAAAGGCATTAGCGGCAGGGTTTTGTGTAGTTGAACTATTCATGATCACACGTCCGTCTTGAATAATATGTTGTCTGATAATGCTGAGCGCTAGAGGCAAAAATAGCGTATGTTCCCTCCCCTCCTCTAGTTGCTTTGATGGCTACAGCTTAATTACGTTCATAGCGTCAATTAGGACAGAGCACATGGGGCGAGCATACGTGCATCTAGGCTTTTTGGCAATGTAGCATATGTGGCTATTAATTAATCTCCAAGCAGATTCGGTGGGGCAGGGGGACTT